ATTGAACAATAAATGCAAAAATGTTTTCGGTCAAAGCCAGTGGCCCTCCACAAAAAAGTTCGGGCGGGTAAAAGGGGGTATGCCTCTAGAAAAAAGAACAACGTGTAGATTTTTACAACCCGTCGCCTTACCTACGGGTAACGGGTCTAAACATTAGCCTATGTAAAAATTTGAGCAAAATATCTCATAAACTGTAGGAGTTAAAGAGGAAATACCATTTTTTTTTTAAAGTTTAACACTTAAACTCGATTTGCTTTGAGTCCTCTACACGCCCCTGCTCTGTGTCCATAAGGTTGGAGGAATAAGGAATCACCCTGTATACGCCGTTTTCTATCCCCTGATATATGAGTTGACCGCAGGATCGAGTTGAGACATCCAATTACCTTTTTTCTTTTGATTATTCTTGCTTCAACCTCAGCTTCGATTAAAAGATAGCTGGCAGTCTATGTGAAAAATACGACTGCAGCAGTAGAGAAAAGGATCGGAAAAGAACAGGCTCAAGGCCTAATATAAGAAGAAGAATATATAGAATATAAGAAAAAAATATCGCAAAACCGGTTTTAAAAAATATATGTAAAAATCTATCGAAAAAATTCCATAAAATTGGAATTATATTGAGAAATGCATATTTTTACATTCTACTCTGATTGCAACTGGCACAATCTTTTGTCGATTTAATCATTAAAGCAGATTTTGATTATTTAAGTATGGGTATTTAATTGTATCTGCATGTTTGCGCTTTTTAATTTATACTCGTATTTATCATTCGATCGAAAAACGATTTCAAATAGAAGAAAATGTGTTTCAATTTATAATTGAAAATCAATCAAAACGTTTCACGTAATTAATCTCAAAACTTAAAATAAATAAAAATTTTTATTTTTTTCGAGGATTCAAATCGATATTATGTTGCTTAAAATAATATATAATGACTAACACTAGTGATTTTTTGTAACTATTGCAAATCTTGCAAACACCAGAAACAAGTAAGTCATTTCTGCAAAGAACATCAACTCTGAACACACTTATTCCATTGCTGTTAAATATACAGCAAGTGTTTGCTTATCACACTATACGTTCAATTTAATTTAATTCACACTTACACTAAAGCTGTCAAAAGCTTTTATTAACTGATCAAACGATAAGAAATGAATGTTGCAATAAAAATAAAATATAGAAAATATGGTCTTATGCTGAAATGTTGCTGTAATTTTTAATCTTCACTTATAATCCGTTAGATGAACAGTTATTATTTAAAATTCAGCACGCGATAAATGTACTATTTTAAAGTGACCAAGTTTAATAAAAAATATTTTTGTTTTAATCGACATGCCTGTTTTTCATTTCTTAAATTATATAAAATGGTGGTTCAATATTAATTAATTAGTTATGTTCATTATATTATTTTCAAAACTAATGTTCCCGAATAATAAAAAAACTTAGTTGTTGTATGACTTTTAATTGAAAGATTAAACATTTCGATAAACTAAGGAAATATAGCAATTTTCTTAGGTATTGTTAAATGCAGTTGAAAATAAAAACTTAACATCTATGAAATATTCAGTCTCGAAAATTACAGACAGCATTTAAACATTGAGAAACTATCGCAACAACTGCAACAAGATAATTGTGTTAAACTGAATGAAAACGAAAATAATAAACTCGACAAAATAACATGACTACATTCGAAATATAGGCAAAATAACAGAAACCAATAGCGGTTACGGACTATGAAATCAATGAAATTATGTAATGCATTTACAACTAACTATGAAATAGAAGTTCAATTGGCAATTAATATAAGGAAACCGTTATGCATCGTTAAATGAAAAAAAAATTATGATAGGAAGTCAAGAACTTAATGTTTTAAGAGCACTGCTAGGAAATGTTATAAAAGCCAAATCAATTACAATCAAGATTTGAAGATTTCGTTATGTGGTGAAATGAAATTGTAAATTTCTATAGAGCCATTTCCGTATTTTTATTTTGTCGAGAGACAGACAATGACCTTTTTCAGATCACTTTTTTGTAAAAACTTAGAAAGAAGAAAGTTACATCAATAATTTTAAAATGAGTCAACGATTTTACATTTTGCATATTTTATGATGTCTTGCACGTTTTATCTCTCTCTGGGAATTAGCTGAAACCTTGTGAAAAAGGAGCAGGAAGACAGAAAAGACTTGCAAAATTTGAAGAACAAAGTTTAAATGTTGTTGAGAAAAAACGAAAAAAAGAACTCAAAAATTTGTTATATCTCTTTGATGTTCAACTAAGATTCACTTTTTTGCATTTTTTTTAATACAATACATTTCCGAATAGACGGATTGGGAAAAATAGATCAGTTGCTTGAATACCAAAGTAAGTTAATAATAAGTTTCAGTCCGAAAGTTCATGGTGACAACATTGAATATATTAGCAACTCAGAATTAGATAGAAACGAAAACTTCCCTTGGAGAATATTGAGGCAACTTTCTTAGTTTTAAGGTTTTTAAAATAGCGAAATAGGATCACCCTGAATTACGCTGTCTAAAAATAGTGGTCTAAATTGTCTTGAAATGTTCGTCCCGGGATTATTTTTTAATTATTTATATCAGGTACTTACTTTTTCTGAACCATGTTTCTTTTTTGTCATCATCTTGACATTCCTTCTTGAGACCTTCGACATCTTTGGCTGCGGTTAATGGAGTTTTCATGTTAAAAGTGGTCTTACGAAGACTCTTTCGTATTTCCTGTAAGGCTTTAACCTGAAGCAGAACCTCATGGGTTGAGATTTTGCTATTATTAGCTTCAGGTACTTCCACGGTGCCGGACATTGGAACATAAAATCTGTAAATAAACGCAATAAAATTATAACAAAAAAATTGTTTAAATAATATGATTAATTTTCGCTTTCCAAGACTTGTTGATGTTGTCTTGTATAATTTAATATAACTAACTCAATATAGTGGTTCACTGCAGTTCAATCTACCTTCATATTACTGCAAACAGAATCACTATGAAACGTGAGGACAATGGATTTTATAGGAAAAGACCTTGTGTATTTATTTATATGAATAAGGCATACCTGAGGCAAACTAAGGAAGTTTAAATGCAAATCACATGCGGGCAATTCAATGATCATTTAAAGGTAGATTTATCTATAGCTAATTGATTTATGCTTTTTTCGAATTATACCTTCTGACATTCGTATCAAAAAATTCTGCAACAACGGGAGTAATAAAGTTTCTTTGCCCAAGTGCAGAAATATTTTTAAATTTCTCCACTGCCCAAGTGTTCCTGTAATTTTCAATAGGTTTGCAACGCATTTTCAAGCGGCAATCGTTTGGTTCTTCTGTTTAGTAACAAATTCACGTTTGACCGATTAATCCAAACTTATTTGGAAAGTGTTATTTAATTCAGTAGTTTCAGCAACGTCTCGGTTTAGAATCGTTAATAACCATTAACAAATATTTCATTTACACTCATTTTATTGTTATGATTTTCAAATAACATGTAACTGATCAAGAAAATCGGTTACTTAAGCAGAAAATTTAAAATCAGTATTGAAAAACGATTTTAGACCAATATTTTGCTTAATATATGTTGCAAAAGTTCCAAATACAAAACAATGTGTTATTGTATGTTGTTAATCTGCATTTAACGGTAGTCTGTTAGAATGTGGTTGGTTTGTAAATAAAGCACTATCGAAAGGTTTAAGCCGAAAAAGTGGGTTCATAAATAGAAGAAAGTTTAGTTTATTACCTTGACATACTAATTTAAAATTTGGCTTTTTCCAGGAATTGAATACAGTTTTATTGACCTAAAATAGTAATGTTAAATGATCTTTAAGTAACAGTGAATGTTTCAGTTAAAAGTTTTATAATTAGTATTCATTTCCTAAAATCTCATTTCACTAGAGTGATAAAAAGGTATTTTTATATATAATTATATTATATATAATATTATGAGCAGTCCAAACAGCGAAAGTGGACGTGGAGTAGCCCGAATAGACAGGTGAAGAACGATATTGATTACCTATATCCTAACCAGAGCGAGACAACACTGCGCGGATGTATCTGTTCTAGATCGTTTCAATACAGGAAGTGACCACCGGCTTGTAAGAGGAAAAATATGTATAACTACTCGGACGAAGGAAAACGATGATCCGGAAAAAATCGTCAGCGACCTTACTTGAACACCAACACAAGAGAGATAAATATCACTACTACATAGAATAAATAAAAACTCCAACCTGTAGAGACGCTGAAAGATCTAGACCTTAACATCCTATCCGAAAAAATAACCAAAAACATCCGAACCTCAGTGAAACAAATATGCTACTATGAAAAGGGCAGGCCATCAACACAATAAATCTGCAAACGACTCTAACTGAATAGATACTCGCAAGACTTCAGAGTCATTGAGAAGCCAATGAAGGGAGAGATAAGGAGTGATCTAAAAAACCATAACATCCATCTCATACAGCAAGCAATTGAAGGCAACTTTAACATGAAGGAATTGAGATCGAGTATGACAAGAGGAAAACGAAACATCCGAAAAATGAGAAATGAACAACGAACAAGTAGTGTATGAAGAGCAGGAGATCGTAACCATCATTCAAAGATTCTACCGAAAGCTCAGACAAGACAGGAAATGGCAGACACAAGTTACCAGAGAGATAACAGAGCACAAATTCTAAATGTGGGATCGGAAGAAATATCGGAGATCGACATCTCTGAACTAGAAAAGGCACTGAGATCGATGAAAAACCGCAAAGTTTCAGGAGAAGACCGCATCACGGTCGAAATGCTGAAAGAAGGAGCAACACTGAAAAAAAGCAATGCTCATCCTGCTCAATATGTGTGTGGAGGAGGGACGCATCCCATTAGCATGGAGAAACACCAAGATCAAAATAATATTTAAAAAAGAAGACTGTAGGCTCATCAGCCTCCTATCTAGCTTGTATAAGTTACTTAGCAAGATCCTCACCAGACGCCTGACTTCTACCAACCCATAGAACAAGCGGGATTCAGAAAGGGCTATAGCACCACCGACCATATTCAGATTGTGCGGACACTGATGGACAAATGTAGGGCATACAAGTTCCTCTTCACCTTGGGTTCGTCGACTATCAAAAGGCATTTGACTCGGTAGAAGAATGGGCAGTAATACATTAATTGGATAAAGGTCGACTCCCGATACTCCATTCTGGTAAAGAACTGCTACGAGAATGCAACTTTTCATGTGAAGATAACAGAAGACCTCAACACAGAGTAAATTGCCATAAACCGAGGAGTTAGACAAGGAGACTCAATATCCGCAAAACTTTTCACCTGGGCTTTGGAAGGAGCTTAATACCTTGGATTGCCGATTAAAAGCATTGACATTCTGACACAAAACTATCCAAACCGCCCAAAATCGACTACACTGGAGGCAATTCAAAAAGGCCTACGTTCAGGAGTGAACGAGGATGGGCTAATAATGAATGAATTAATTATATCATATATATTCTGATGAGAAAAATTATATTTAAACTTGCGTGCAATGAGAAATTCAGAGCTTTGAAAATTTTACTTCTAGTTAAAATTGGAGTTTTTTTCGTTGCAATATTCAAATATTTGTAATGCTCACGAGTTGAAAAATTAAACAAAATCAAATTTTTATGTTTTGTTTCAAGGAAGTTCAAAACGACGTATAATCGTTTCAATCTTATGTCTGTTTTTGTCCATTTTTATGAATAATTGCGATCAATTTGATCTGCTTTGTTGTGTATTTGTCGACACATTTTGCTGTTGTTTTGCAACACTGTGAAGTTATACAATATTGAATTAACAGAAAATCCATAGGCTACATTTAAACAGTCGCAGTATCTCCTACCACTTGTACCGAGATCCTTAGGTTTCCAATCATACAGATTTTTTTTAATTTAATGGACAGAATCGGCAAAGATTTTGTTTTATTACAGGAAAAGCACAGGATTTTATTCTCAGTTTCAAAAACATATGATTTAGAGAGAGTAAATCATCAGTTTTTTTTGCAACGCTCCAATATATAATTGTTCAATTTCCAAGTTACTTTAAAAAGTAATTTGTTTTTTGCTATTTCTAAATACCCCCTGTACAAACAGGTAACTTATGTAGAGAACGGAAAAAAAAGATAAATAAAACTTGTAACGTTTTAGTACAGTAAATTGTAACGTTTCGAACGGTAAAATAACATTATTACAAAGTATATGGCATGCCGGAACGGAAACTATAAAATGTTAAAGACTTGTTTTTATTGTTCTGGTGGCATTTTAAAATTTATATTTAAACAGGCTGTTTCCATTTTGAAAAATTTCAAGTAAGTATTCATATCTTACACGCGATCCTCTTAGAAACAAATCTGTTTTAAAGTCCTGTATCAAAGTTCATACTTATTGATTCCACTTCTCCAAAGTTACAATAAACTCATTGTCATCATATTTATCACTTGTTATTATCTGCATATACATTTGGCTAAGTCAGTCTGGCTGAAGGCAGTTGTCTAGGTAAAGGTCAGCTAACTAGTCGATGCGGACATGATACGATTTATAAAAGTTTCATATTCCTATTATGTCTATAAAATATTTGTTCAAACTTTATTAGGATGGTAAACAGATACAGCTCTCAAGGCGTACTAATTTATAACGCTCCTGAAACCTCTACTTTTTGTAAAGAATTTATTTTACACGTTCTGAGAGTGTTAGTTTCAAGTCAAACCCAGCTGAACTAATATAAATATGATATAAATCTCTATATCTTTAACATTAGAAACGTTTGATGCCTCTGAGGCTGCCAAACGTTTCACTGTTCCTTATTAGCATTGTTAAATAACTTAAAATATTTAAATAAAATGCATTAACCATTTTAGATTTTTTGGAATTTCAAAAGTAAACAATTTTTTAAAACTGTTTTATATTCAATACTCTACTACTAACTAAGAATGATTTGACTAAGTATTTCAGAAATAAACTTTTTTAAATTACGTGTTTTGTCGTTTTACTTTAAGTGCTTCTTAATTAATAAAGAAGCAGAACTATATATTTAAAAATGTGGAAAATATTACCGTTAAAATTTACAATGTTTAATGTGTAAAGTGAATTTCTTAGCTTTTTCATGGTGTAACTGGATTTTATAACATTTTCAATATTACAGTCAAAATGCAACATTTTCTATAATCACTGAATTAACTGATTGATCTTTTAGCTTTAATGTTACTCAAATTTTTGAATTAGCAATGTAAATAAAAAATTAGAATTTTACAGCTAAATAATGTATCTGGGTAATTGTTTCCTGAAAGGTACATACTAAAGTTTATTTCTTTATCATTAAAGCGTTTCTACTTCATTAATTTCATATTAAATTTAAAAATAAATAACAGTTATAAATGCAGAGTGAATAATAAATGATGTATTATGTTTCTTATCGAATTACTTATCATCAAAAAACTTCGATAAATGTGTGTAATAACCGTCAGAAAAAAATTATMKATAAATTTTTAAAAACAATGGGTTTTTAATTATATGTACCTGCAGATCAGCTATATKTTAATTTTTAAACTTTTGTTTAATATTTTTGCATTTAWCRTCTTTACGAAACAACTACAAAATCRATGYTTAAATAGTATTTAATAGGTATGTATTATTACCTTATTACCACTTGCCTCAAGATAAAACCTATAAGAAAAAAAAAACACCAAAGTAACTAATAGCAGCTACTTATATAAACTTCACTCTAATGGGAAACTGATGCTGGAAAAAACTTCACTACAAATAATTAGCTAGAACCTGACCGTAAAAAAAGATAAAACAACACTTCATTTAGCCGCCACCCACAAGTTCGACATCAACATTTCGAGAAAAATCATTTGACGCGGAAAGAGCAATCGCCGATAACCATTTTAATGGTTTAATAGATTGGAATTACCGCATTCTAAAATTTGCAACATACCGTGATGATAGAAGCACTGCTAAGAACATCGGCATTTAAAAAACAACGATGGTTCATCGAAATAACGAAGTGAAAGGCAAAAGCAGAAACTCCTGACTGATTGTAGAAATTGAACGCACGTTTATTCAACTGAAGTGAGGGAGACCATAGTTGAAGATCTTTCTACTACAGCTTATGGAAGCTTGAATACTTTTGAGCTCAACGAAACTAAGTCAAAATTTCGCGAAATATATTCAAAACATCGTCAAAGAAGATCACACAGTTTCGGTTACTTACTGATAAAAATCTAAAGTACTAATTTATTCAACCAAACAAAAGTAACAGTATTACAGACTGAACTTCAATAATACTTATATAAGAGAGCCAATTTTTCATCAAATCTAAATTATTAAAGAATTAATCAACTTCTGTTCGAAACATTTTTTACTAGTTATTAGTGAAACAAAATAGGCAATGAAATGTTTGAAATTCGCTTGGAGCTCATCATTTGTATGATTTTTTAAACATTGTCATGCCTTCTAATGAGGTAAAAGGTTTAGTAACAAAACTGTTCAATGATTATTCTGTTAACAACCGTTTTCTCGATAAAAATTATTTGTGGGTCGTATCGAATCAGAAAACATGGCTGTCGAATATTGTTGCAATCGATTTGCATGTACTTTTTGCAAGATAAGAGTTTGTTGTTTAAAGAGTTGATTCAAAAGTGTAGTGCAAAAAATTAGAGATTAGTTGAATATTTTCAACCGTTTTCGCGATAAACCGTGTTTTTGGATCCTTGTGACAAACATTACGTGGTTCTTAAAAACATTTGCAATCGAGTCGCAAGTCCCTTGCAAGCAATTGACATCTTTTGATTAAAAATTTTATAAGAAAAACATGGTATATTAAAAAAAGCTATAGATTTCTAAGATTATTTTTAGAGAACGAAACAACATGATTGTTCAATGCTCTTGCAGTTAATTTCCATGTTCTTTTAAAGCAATGTGTGTGTCATCTTTATTTATTAATCGAATTGTGTTTTACTTTATCTTAGTTTGTTTTTTGTATTCTCAGATTTATTGTTTATATTAGAGTTGTATGAGAGTTTAATCAAATTTAATAAAAGTAGTCAAACATTTCCATCCAAACATAAGTTTCTATTTGTTGTTTACAATAGCGGAATTCTTTAGCAATTTGAATTTTCTTTCGACGGATTTTATCTTCATCTGGCTTAAAAATTCGAAACACTTATGAGTTTAGTATAATTTTTAGTACTCTTGCTGTGAAGCGAATTATCATAATATAATAAAAAAACGAAGTAAAGGAGTTTTAAGAAGTAAAATATTGTACATAAAGTGGTTAGTTAAAGGGCTTTCCTGAGGGGATCGAACAATTTTTTTTGCTTTGAAAATTTTTACTTTTAGCGTCTTCATTTTATTAACATTCATAAACAGAAAACAAATGTTTTTTTCTTTTCTGGGTTACAGTCAAAACGTGAAATAAAAATATTTATATCGTTTATTTCATATTACGTTTCGGCGAGGCAACAGCGACATCATCAGATTAAAATTAAAATTCAAAACCAGCCCATAATCGGGCCATAAATGTAGACAATAATTGAAACAAATATGGTTATATATAATGTTAAAAAAGTTTTGAAGACAGCCAAGCATCTAAAGTATCAAATGTTCCCAATTGAGGGTTTGTTTTGAATTTTAATCTGATAATGGCGCTATTGTCTCGTCGAAACGTAATATGAAATAAACGATAAAAACATTTTTATTTCACATTTTGACTGAAACCCAGGAAAGAAAAAACATAATAATAATAACCCGCAGCCAGGAAAATTAATCAAAATATAAGTGATTAAAATATCGAAATTAGTTTGTCCGGTTTTTCGAGCCGTGAAGTGTACCTACTATTTAAGTTCAAATTACAATTTACACAACAACTTTGGTTCAATAGGCGACGAATTATATTCTTCTCTTTGTTGATAGGCATTTTTTATAACTGGATATCGCAGAAGCACAAATGTGTTGTGTACTGTAAACTACATACCTGAACTAGCCGAGAGCTTAAAATGAACCATTACGTATGATGAAGGAATAACACTTTTGTACAAACTTGAAACAGTCAAGATGTCTTCCAATTAGCAAATATTCTCTACTTGCTAAATGGGTCTAACCAAAAGAGTTTGCTTGTGTTTTGTATCAAATGTTGATTAATGGAATTCGAAATTAAGACGATATGAAATCATATGGAGATTTTGCCAAGAGTTTGCAATTATATCAAAAGTTATTTTCTCTACTAAACCTCGTCAATATCGAGCTACTCCTAAAATGCCTTTATTATTTTACTATTAATTTATATTAACTATTAATTAACAAACTATCTATATAAATTATTTTCAAAACGTTTTATTCTTAACTGTTTTTCGCATAAAATCATTCAACTTTTTCGAGTTTTCAGTTTAAAAAATTTTTTTTAATTCCTACAAAACCATTACATAAAATTAAATTAATTTCTTTCTCAAAACGTCATATATACTCAGTGAAATTTTGCAAATAGTTCAAACACGCATTTTTCATACAATCACCATTGTTAAAGCCAAATCCTGTAATTTCGATTTCTATATAAAATTTTTCTTTTACTTGATAATTCCGTGGTTTTCTTCTTAAACGCAGTAAAAAATCACTTGTTTGCCTATTTTTATCAATTATTCCATCATTAGTAAGGTTTCATACAATTAGTGAGTGTGTGTACTTTCTTAAAACCATGTAAAAAGTTATTTCATAGTTCTGTCCTAATGTTTTTAAAATCTTTAATTACTTTGCCAGTATCAATCTATCTAACTATCACTGTTCTGTTATATTATTTGATTTAAATCGTCTCAAAATATCAACATTATCTAAATCATTTAAGTATCAAAACGCTGTTGAACAATTGATCTAAAATTTGATTCTGAATTGAAAATCCGGGAATGTCAAACAATTATTTATATAAAAAATAATCAAAAGATCCAATAGTTGCTATTGCATTGTTGTCTAGGTACTGTTGCTTTTGAACCCATTATTAACTTACTGTTGTTAAGGTGTGCAGAGTGATCTACGTTATCCACATATAAGCTTTTAGCACAAAACAAAATAAAATTAATGGAACAGACAATGGGACTTCTGAATTCTGTACTAGAAATATATTCACGCAGTGTACTGGCTAGATGATCAAATGCAAAGGTACTTACAACATAAGTACTTCCTCCCACTAAATGCTAATCGTCTAAAATTGATTAATATGTAGTTGACGCTTATTGAGAGAGAAGTTCTTTGACAACGTATAATCAGTTTGTTACTATTATTTCATGGCTTTATACTACAATTTTATTGATTAATTTTAACCTTCTGGTTTTTCAAATTTTATTTTAAATTAAACATACCCACTGTAATACAATCAGGACTGCATCTATTAAGTACATCTATTGCTTGACATTTAATGACTGAATTCTCGTTTCTGCTGTGGCTTCTTTTATACTTTACTTATGCTGCTTATGGCAGAAACGATACTATGTCTGATTTTAGTGGCATTTTCGGCGTATTAGTATTTTAGTGGCCATATAATTCCTCCCTCTTTAATGAAGAGAAAATAAAGATTTATTTTCGAGTATTTTCAAATTTATGTCCTCTATTACATCTTACCTTTTCTTTCTATAGTAATAAAAATATACTCTCATGTATCAACGAGATGCTTCCATGAGTAGGTAAATACTCAGTTTCTTTAGGGGGTGCGTAATTAAATTCTTTGCATCTTCTGAGTCGTCACGAATGTTTTGAAAATAAATATCATTGCTTTTCAGTGTCTCAATTTTCTCAATTAATTTTTTGGTTTAGTCTTAATTTGATTGTATCAGGTTTTTGAGAATCGCAGATTTTATTTTTCGTTTTCACTGTACTTGCAGCTGGGAACATCAATGATTGTTGATTTACTACCTCCGTTGCGTTTTGATTTGGACATGAAAATAAGAATTGAATTATCACTCAACTGAGTAATTGAAAACTTGTTGTATTGGATTGCGGAGGCTCATTGGAGTTGAATAATGTTTCTAAACATAAGATGTCTTCAAATTTAGTGACAATTTTCTTTCAGACTGAATGACTCATCTAGATATTTTAGCAAATAGGAATTATTCAGTGACATTATTTGCTTTTCGATTGGAACAGATACAGATGATAGGCTTTTCCAGTTATCAGAGGAATTGTACTGATTTTATTAGAGGAATTTTACCGGATGTAAAATATGATCGTTTTTAATCGTTACGTGGACGTATGCAGCGTCGTACTATTTTAAGATGTTTTCAAAAGGGATTCAGGTTTCAGAGTTTAATTTAAAAATTATCTTTTCAAGTTCACGATATTTGAGAATGCTGTGATACATTATTTTTAGCTCCGCGAAGTTAGTCGCTGTCTGAACGTTCATCTGGATTTCATTGATTACACGAATATTACCTAAGAGATTATCAAGTAATATGATAATATATGTCGTAGTAGAAGTAGACTGTATTTGTAATGTTGTTGATTCGCTTTTGAAATTATTTCTGATTCATATTAACACCGAACAATTGTGGATCTATGTATTTTGATAAACCATTAACAATAGTCTGGGTTGCAATGTTTTCGAATTTTTTTCAGTTTCCGAATATTTATTAAATTTCCCAATGAAATTGAATAATCGTCTTCTTGCTCTTTTATTTGTGTAATGCGACACAATCGATTTTATTATTTGGTTTGACCAAACAAATAACTTGTTATTCAAGTAGAAAATTGGAAACTGATTTTTTTATGAGAAACTTTCATGAATCGTTCGGTTTGTAATAATGTTCTCTTCTGTTGGTTTTAAAGTTTTTCCAATATTAATCAAATTTACGTAATATAATGATCATAATTGGGTAATCCATTTTTTTCAATTTTGTATACTCCTACAACTAGAACGGTTAGTAGCATCAAAATGGTAATTTTCTGAAATTATGTTTGGAATTTTCTGGTATGTCTGGCTCATCTTTGCGATTTTGATTTAGCATTAATTTTTGAATAGATATTTTTATAGGCTTTGGAACATCTCCTGTCATTTAACAACTTAATTGTATTTTAGTTGATCGATATTGATCATTGATAAAATCAAAGATCTCTCTCAGTTCAAAGACCAGGCATGTAAAAAGAATTCATAAAATAGTTGTAGAAGGCAAAAGGCGGAAACACGCTCACTTTTAACAGGCTTTATAAACACATTAGCATCACACGGTCCAGAAAGATTAAGTTGCTTTACATTTTACTGTAGGTACTTTGCTACAGACATTGTCTTCTTGGATGGAGAGTACCACAGTAATAAAGTTAAGTTTTTCATCGCTTTAATGCTGCGAGCAAGAGAAAGCACTGACAAATCATGAGCTGAGCTGAATATGGATCTGCCATTTCGGCATTTTTTTAAACTATATTGAATCTTGAATCTGTATCGGTCATCTGAGTACACTTTATTCAACATATCAAGCTTCAAAAGTTACAACTTTCTGGAAAATCAAGCAAAAGGCCAATGGAAAAAAATATTGTCAATATCAAGTTACGTGCTAATTGCTATTCCGTAGCTCGTAATGCAGCGACCAAAGAAGCATTCATAAATTAGGCGCTGTACACAAAATATTGAGCTTGAGCGGCTCAAAAATTGTTCCACCCAAGCAGGGAAGAATGGTGAACTTTTCAACGTCGAAATGTAATTTTCGGAAGAAACGTCGCTAAGAAAAAAGTGTTATTAAGGGAATAATCTACAACGGAAGTCACTTTATATTATCGAACTCCAGAGAGGTGAAAATCAGATAATTACTTTTTCTTTACGTGAATTAAACACGAAATTAAACGGTTATTATACACATTATCAATAAGAACAGTTCGAGTTTGAAGGCTTTTTGCTCAATCTTAACTGTGTTCTGCTGCGATCACATCTTTTTTTCTTAATTTTTGACCCATTTTTCAAACCATTGGCAAAAATTAGACTTTAGTGCGATTGAAGTGGAAATTTATGCGCTGTCAAACACATGAAACTTCTATAGGGTGTAAAAGTTTCAAGTTGCTATTTGCTCTAAATGGGAAGTTATCAATTTTTAAAGGAAAGCGTGCAGTTGAGTGAAAGTGCTAATTTTTCGTCGCTCTTAGTAGTGCAATCAAAGTGAAGCATTCACAAATCATGACATATTTTGCTAATGGTTTACCTACTTTGATTTGGGTGGATCTGCTAAAACTTGTGCAGCTTCTCACAATAGATCAAGCTAAAAAGGTTTTCACGTTTCATGACATTTGAGCAAACGATTGATCGGAGATCGAGTATTTAATTTAGCATTCAAAAGTCGCCCCATGAACGGCGGTGTTTCTTTATCTTTACCCGAGAAAGCAACTTTGTTTAAGCTAAATATCCAAACCAGTTCGATCGCGGGCTGGAAATTTCCAGGAAATCTTCAATAAGAAAAAAACTCAAATCGAACAGCATTGCAACAAAATGAGTCACCCAAAGGGCTAGCAAACGGTTATGTGAGTTCTGTAGCTCGGTGCGTTTTTTATGGGATAAACACCTTAATTTTGCATGAGTTTTATCGGAAAGCTGAACATTTAGCTCAGTCTATTATGGGCAAGGGATAAAATCGGTCGGCGGTTCTTTGTTCATAAACGGGATAAAAGTATCAATTTAGTGCCATTTAGGCACGACCGGTCGACCATCTTACCTGTTAATTGCTGAGTGTAATCCACATTTATTTTCAACTTTGTGTAGATTCTCATTGTGTTCGTGTAGTGTGTGCCTTTTGAAGTTTAATGGACAGACAATGGAAAATGGGGCCAGTTTGCAAAAAGCATGTAAGAGGGATTAGTAATTTATAAACCCTTAAGTTGAACTGAGTTGACTTTTACAGAAACATATAAAGTTGTTTCAGTTTCCTATTTCTTTTGCTTTCCAATCAAATCACTGGGTTTTAGTCTAAGTTTATGAAATAATACAAATTTTTCTTTTTTTTTCAGGAGGTACAATGCAGCTTTCGGTAAGTTTGGCATTACTTTGACCGTAAGTGATCCTAGCCAACCCATTTAGATTTTGCGCGGTTTTTTTAATTTTTTTTTCTTTAACCAGCATCATGTACCTATATAATATAATGCATAAGTATGTTTTTCGCAGATGTTTAAATCACCTGTTTGTTAAAAAAACAAGTTAATTATTTTTGGCTAAACGATTCGTACTAGGGATTTTCAGGGGCTGGGATCCGTCCGAATAATTGCATGTTTTATTGTTTATTGCTATTTATTGATTATTGCATTATTGGAGGATAGCACGTTAAAACGTTGCGTGTGATCCTGGCCAAACC